CTGGCCAACTGAAGACGAATGGGCTGGACCAAACCGTCAATAAATCTCCTCACCCTCTCCCTCTTAGTGGGAAGTATGACGATGGCATGGCGAGCTAGATCGATAAACCTGGTCTCATACTGAGTGACCGTCATAGACCCCTGCTGGAGGCGCTCGAACTGCCTCCGATAAGCATTCCTCTGAGTAACGGGGAGAAACTTCTCCAGGAACAACCCTGAAAACTGATCCCAAGTCAAAGGCGGCGACCCTGCTGGCCTGGCTAAACAGTAATCCCTCCACCAAGTCTTGGCGGATCCAGATAGACGAAAAGCCGCAAAATCAACTCCATTGGACTCCACAATGCCCATGTTTCGAAGAACCTCGTGGCAGCTACATAAGAAATCCTGGGGGTCCTCAGAAGAAGCCCCGCTGAATGTAGTAGTGAAAAGCTTGGTGAACCTGTCCAGCCTCCACAAAGCATCAACAGACATAGCCGCTCCATCACCGGCCTGTCAACTACTCCCGGCTGAACTGCCACAGCTGGCTGAGCCGGTGGAATCTGAGTCTGGGGAGCTACCTGCTCCAGAGTACGTGCAGTAGGAGTCTAGGCTCCTCCTCCAGCCTGGGAAGTGGCTGGTGCTGCAGGAAGCAATCCTGCTCGGCTGACATTCTCCATGAGGCCAACCAATCGGACCAAGGCGTCCTGAAGAACTGGGGTAGCAATAAACCCCTCTGGGACCTGAGCTGGGCCCACCGGAACTGTCTGAGCTGGGGCCGGAACCTCCCCGTCAAGGCCAACCTGAGGGTCCGCCACTGGTGTTGCTGCTGGTGGCTGGGCCCTGCCCCTACCTCGGCCCCTAGCACGGCCACGTCCTCTGCCCCTAGCGGGAGCTGCCTGGGGCTCGGACTACTGATTGGTAGATGAGGAAGAGCGTGTTCTCGCCATCTGCGAAAGAACAGAGTGGAAATTCAATCAGCATTTAAGAAACCAAATCGCACGACAAGAAAGAACAAATGAGAGATTTTTCCTAACTCAATAGACTCTGGGGAACAAGTACAGACGTCTCCGTACCTACCCCTCAGACTCTACTAAGTTTGTCCGTGGGTTGTGAGACCTATGTAACCTAGTGCTCTGCTACCAACTTGTCACGACCCGGATTTCCCACCATCAGAGTCGTGATGGCGCCTACTCGTGGTAGCTAGGCAAGCCAACTTAATTACCTTTCCATCACTAGCAATTATCTTTAACAGTTTATAACATCAATATAGAACATAAAGTCTAATAAGAACAATAGCGGAAGTCTGTCTTAAAATGATTAATTTAAAACGCGGAATAGTCAAAAACAACCTCTACCCAAGATTTGGTGTCACATTACTCACGAACCACTAAGAATAAACTAAATACAAAGGTCTGAAAGAAATATAATAGCTGTCTGTCTCAAAACAAGGAGGCAACAGTTTAAAAGAAAACAATGAGAAGAGGCGCCGGGCCTGCGGACGCCTGCAAGGCTACCTCAGTCTCGTGAATATGAATCACCTGCTTCCGAACTACTGCTGTTGTTGTTCCTCAAAACCTGGACCTGTGCAAAAATGCACAGAAGTGTAGCATCAGCAAAACCGACCCCATGTGCTGGTAAGTGTCTAGCCTAACCCCGGCGAAGTAGTGACGAGGCTAGACTGGACACCACATAAACCTGTGCAGTTATAGATATACAGCGAAAATCGAATACAAAGTAATTACCAACATGGGAGGGGAAACATGCTAAGGGGAGTTACAATAATAATGATAATCCTGAATAACAACTAAAGCAACTTAGGTTCACAGTGAACAAGGAATCAATACTCAAATGTAAACACATAGCCTCAATAATTGTTGCGGCGTGCAACTCGCTCCATAATTACCATTGTTGCGGCGTGCAACCCGCTCCACAATATCATTGTTGCGACGTGCAACCCGACCCATATCACTTATCATATATCATTGTTGCGGCGCGCAACCCAATCCTCATATATTATTGTTGCGGTGCACAACCCGATCCTCAGCATCATTGTTGCGGCGCGCAACCCGATCCTCAATATCATTTAACAGTCTAACTTCCCAAACAACAGTCACAATTAAGGGGCATAAAATAAGCAAATATTTGACAACCATCCCGGCAAGGGAAAGAATCCAACAAGTTCAACCAACGTCCCGACAAGGAAATAATCAACAACGCTTTCTCTTTCTTACTTTCCGGTTTTTGAACAGTGTCCGATTTCGACCCAACTTTATAGAAAGCGCTTAACACATATTTAAGACTTGTACCGGGCGTCGGAACCAAAATACGAGCCCGATACCACAGTCTTTTAATCAATTTTTATTTCCATTTTCCTTAATAATTTCAGAAAAACAATTTCACAGAAAAATTTATTTCTCGGGCTCTAGACCTTGGAATTCGACTCCGGGCACATGCCCGAGTCCCATATTTTTCTACGGACCTTCCGGGACCGTCCAATCTCGAGTCCAGGTCCGTTTACCAAAAATGTTGACCGAAGTCAACCTTAAACATATTAATATCAAAATTATTCAAATTTTTCACAGAATTCACATATTTCAACATAAAAGCTTTCCGGCTACGCGCCCGGACTGCGCACGCAAATCGAGGCAAGTAAAAAATGAGGTTTTCAAGGCCTTGGAAGCACAGAATGAATGAGGAAACAGGTGATGACCCTTTGGGTCGTCACAATTTTTGGTCAATGTTTTCTGTTCATCGCGAACGCGGGGGAGTTGACCGCGTTCGCGTAGAATAAAATGCACCTAGGCAGAAGGGTTTTTATATTATTTCATCCGCGAAGCTTGGTCCATTTTCCTCCATTGTTGAGCACCTTCAGAGCTTTTTGGTAGAAATTGAAGAGGGTCTCGACGGGAATTGATTGGAGGTGAGTCCTATGGCCTAGAAACATCATTTTATTGAAGAATCAACCTGTAAAATTCATGGAAATTTGAGTAAAATTGGAAGAGCTAGGGCTTGACTTTTGAAATGAAAATTTGGGATTTGAGGGGGCATTTGAGCTCCGATTTTGGTAAATTTGATATGTATGGACTCGTGGCGAGACGAGGAATCCGGTGATGTGAATTTTGTAATTTTTCGAGAAGTGCGCCCGGGGCTCGGGTTTTGCTAGTTTCGAGATTTTTGCTATTTTTCGATTGTTTTTGATTGGGTATTGTTCCCTTAGCATATTGTGATGTATTCGCTCTGATTTTGTTTAGATTCGACGCGCGTGGAGGCCGATTTGAGGGGCAAAGGCGTCGCGAGCTAGAGATTTCACCGGTTCGAGGTGAGTAATGATTGTAAATGATATCCTGAGGGTCTGAAACCCCGGATTTGCACCCATAGTGCTATATTGAGGTAACTTGCACGCCGGATAGAGAGCGTGGGGTAGAGCACCGTTGGGGATTATGACTTGGTCCGTCCCGGTTGTTGATTTTACCGCGTAATTGACTGAAACTTATTTGATATTTTCATGATTTGGGCTGATTGCCGTATTTGGGCTTCGTGCCAATTATTTGAATCCTTCAGGGATTGTTATCACTGTTTTCGCATTACTTTGCATATTATTTGATCTCGGTCCAAGGTTTTAATACTGTTTTGCAAACTCAGCCATTTTTCTAAGATTTGAAAACTTAAACAATATTTTATTGACGTTTTGAGCTGAGAACTACCATGTTGAATTGCCCAAGTGGCTTATGTGCATTTCTAGACTGAGCATGGATGGGGATGCACGCCGCAGCAGTGTTACATGTGTATTTCTAGACTATGGATGGCTCGGGCTGCACGCCGCAGCGGTGTTATATTGATTTTGAGGCCGAGGGCCTGGTTGATGCCACGAGATGGCTTGATATTGCGCTTGGGCTGTAGGAGCCCCTCCGGAGTCTGTACACACCCCGAGTGAGCGCCGTCGACGTTAAATGGATCGGGCTGCACGCNAACCAATCACACACACTAACTCAATAACATCCTACGAACTTACTCGAGCGATCAAATTGCCAAAATAACATCAAAATCATTGAATCAAACCTCAAACTCATCATTTCTATTTCAAACTTCATAAACTTCCAACTTTAGATAATTAGGTCCGAAACACGTCAAACGACGTCCGATTTCGACCAAACTTCACAGAAAGCGCTTAAACAATATATAAGACTTGTGCCGGGCGTCGGAACCAAAATACGAGCCCGATACCACAGTCTTTTAATAAATATTCATTTCCATTTTCCTTAATAATTTCAGAAAAATAATTTCACAGAAAAATTCATTTCTCGGGCTCTAGACCTCAGAATTCGACTCCGGGCACATGCCCGAGTCCCATATTTTTCTACGGACCTTCCGGGACCGTCCAATCTCGGGTCCGGGTCCGTTTTCCAAAATTGTTGACCAAACTCAACTGTAATCATATTAATGTCAAAATTCTTCAAATTTTTCACAGAATTCACATATTTCAACATAAAAGCTTTCCGGCTATGCGCCCGGACTGCGCACGCAAATCGAGACAAGTAAAAATGAGGTTTTCAAGGTCTCGGAAGCACGGAACGGATGAAGAAACAGGTGATGACCCTTTGGGTCGTCACAATAATGCAGTTGTTTACAAAAAAAAAAGTAAGAATAAACTTGTTAGCTATACTATTAGAAATTGCATAGAGATGATCTATGTACATTTTGAAGTTTTCCGAACTAAATGGAAGGTCCATTTGATCTTGCTAAATTGGAGATAATGATAAAGTAATTCACCTTTTAATTAAAGTCTGAATAAATATAAAAATCATCTATTGCTTTCACTTCAAAAAAAAATTTAGTAATTAGCATAGGCAAAAAAAAAATTTAATTTAAAAAAATAGAGCCAGTCAATTTAGTCATAACAAAAAAAAACCTGTTTTTCAAAGAAATATTTCCCTGACAAGTGTAATATTCTCCAAAGAAGGAACAAAATGAATTTAAATATATTCCTATCATACCAGAAATCATTTTGTCTGAAGGGCAAGGAAGCAAAACAAACATTTTTCCTAACCAAAAAAATAATTTATTGATTCCCTAAAAGGCCAGAAAGAAAATTGGTTCTTTCTGGAATTAAAGGGTTTCAATTTTTCATCTTCATGTGGATTATCAAATTTGTTAATGTGTTCTTCTTGGATTCCTATTTGGGAATTTTCATCATTAAATTTGGCAACAGTTAGGACATTAATCCCAAAAAGACGAACATTGTGGTGTTCTAACGAGCAGAAGATCAATTAAATTGGCAGCAGTTAGGACATTAATCCCACAAAAACGAATATTGTGGTGTTCTGACGGGCTGAAGATTAAACAAGAACTTGATGAGCGGAATCTGCCAGCCAGGAAAAAATAAGAAATAAAAAAGAGAACCTCATTCTTGATGATTTTTTGTTGTGAATATTAGGTATGACATTGGGTAACAAGAAGAAAATGAAGATGAATTGCTTTACATGTTGTGTTGCAAAGGAAGAAACTGTTCATAAAAGATCTTTGAGAAAGAACACTCAAGAACACAAGAACACAAAAACTCAATCCAATCTTTCCTTTAGAAATGGTAAAATTTGTCTGCCCTTTGATTTTATTTATTATTTCTAGCCATCCAATTTTGTTAAATTTAATTAGAATTGCATTGTCTTTGAATATTTTACAATTTTGCATGGTTTTCTTTTTCCGAGAGTCTACCGGAAACAGCCTCTCTATCTTCTCAAGATAGGGTTAAGGTCTGCGTACATACTACCAGAGGCGGGTCCAGGATTCGAGCCTTATGAGTTCCTATCGTAATTTCAGATTAATATGCAATAATAACTGGGTTCACAATTATATATTTACAAATATTTAGTGAATTTGTTAATACAAATACAGGATCTACGCAAAAGTTACTGGGTTCCCAGGAACCCATATTCTATGCTCTAGGTCCGTCCCTGCATACTACCATCCCTAGACCCCACTCGTGGGTTACGCTGGGTTTGTTGTTATTGTTCTTTTATCAATAAAAAAGACATTGCCTTTCGTATTCATGATCCTACCCAAAAAACATAAATTAATCATATTAATGCTTGTTTTGAAAAACTAGGCTTATGTGTGCTTAGCTAATTAGCCGGTCCCAAGTCTAGACGGAAAAAAAAGGGGCGCTGCGATAGGTTGATAGCCAGCATAAAAATAGTAGAATTCCCATATGAAAATGCTTGTTGTTAGAAGTTCATTGAAAAGGGTTGCAATAGGTTGACAACCAGCGTAAAAATAGTCGAACTACCATGTGAATGCTTGTGGTGCAAGTTCATTGAAAAAAGTTGTGATAGGTTGACAGCCAACATATCCATGTGAAATGCTTGTGTTAGAAGTTCATTGAAAGGGGTTGCAATAGGTTGACAACCGGCGTAAAAATAGTCGAACCACCATGTGAAATGCTTGTGTTGCAAGTTCATTGAAAAAAGTTGTAATAGGTTGACAACCAACATATCCATGTGAAATGCTTGTGTTAGAAGTTCATTGAAAGGGGTTGCAATAGGTTGACAACCGGCGTAAAAATAGTCGAACCACCATGTGAAATGCTTGTGTTGCAAGTTCATTGAAAAAAGTTGTAATAGGTTGACAGCCAACATAAAAATAGTCGAACCACCATGTGAAATGCTTGTATTGAAAGTTCATTGAAGAAAGTTGCGATAGGTTGACAACCAACATAAAAATAGTGGAATCGCCATAATGAAATGCTTGTGTTGGAAGTTCATTGAACACAGTTACGATAGGTTGATAGCCTGCATAAAAATAGTCAAATCACCATAATGAAATGCTTATGTTGAAGTTCATTGAATAACTTTTCTTGACATTATCATTCTAAAACCGAAGGGGAGCCTCGGAGCAACGGTAAAGTTGTCTCCCTGTGACCTATAGGTCACGGGTTTGAGCCGTGGAATCAACAACCGATACTTGCATCAGAATAGGCTACCTACATCATACCCCTTAGGGTGTGGCCCTTCCTCGGACCTTGCATTAATGCGGAATGCTTCGTGCACCGAACTACCTTTTTTATTATTCTAAAACCAATTAACTTCCCAAGAGACCTGAATTGTCCAGCTTTCACATCATAATCATCATTGTGCTGGTGTGCAGACAGCAGCAGAAGGAGGTACATAGCAGAAGAAATAGCAAAACTTGGAAAAGGGAACATTTCTGCTGAAATCTTCACATTTCAAGAATTGAAACTTGCCACTCAAAACTTTGACAATGATCGTTTGCTTGGTGAAGGTGGTTTTGGGAGAGTGTACAAGGGACACATTCAAAGCAAGAATTTGGTACTCTCTTCGCTTCGATTTTCTCCCTCGGGTGTGTTTGGTATGACATAAGTCGAACTTTTAAAAAATATTTTCTCGCAACCAAACACCAAAAGTTGACTTATTTTCTAAAAATATTTTCCTTCGTACCAATCACACCCTCTATACCTCCAATATAATATACTTGCTTCAAACTTTGAAAGACAAAATGATTATTATATCAAAAGGTTTAACTTCTTCTTCTTGATTTTTTGTATTTTTTGGTTTGTTTTCATTTAAGGATGTTGCTGTGAAGCAACTTGACAGGAATGGTTTTCAAGGAACCAGAGAGTTTCTTGTGGAGGTTCTGATATTAAGTCTTCTTCATCACCCTAATCTTGTCAATTTGGTAGGATATTGTTCAGATGGAGACCAAAGAATATTAGTATATGAATACATGGCAAATGGTTCACTAGAAGATCATCTTCTTGGTATGTATATTGATATGTCCCCATTTCTTACTTTCTTTATGCAACTTGAAATTTTGCATGTTCATCGAGTAACCTTTTTTAGCATTGACGATACTGGTAAGGCTGCTGCCATGTGACCAGGAGGTCACGGGTTAGAGCCGTGGAAACAGCCACTTGCAGAAATGCAGGGTAAGACTACGTACAATAGACCCTTGTGGTTCAGGCCTTTCTTGGGCTGCATAGCGGGAGCTTAGTGCACCAGACTGCCCTTTTGCCAACCTTTTTTAGCACTGTTAATGATACAAGGCCGCTAATTATGTTGCTCGGACTCTCCAGAAATGTTGCTAGGTGCATGTCGGATCCTCCAAAATTATTGCACTTTTAGAGGATCCGACACTGGTGCAGCAACATTTTTGGAAAGTTCGCGCAACATAACCACCAACATGAGACTTGAGTTTTATTTTCACATTGTTTACCAATTATATTCACCTTGTTTGGCAGAACTTGGTCCAGAAAAAAAACCACTTGATTGGAATACAAGGATGAAAATTGCAGAAGGAGCAGCAAAAGGACTTGAATACTTGCATGAAACAGCTAATCCTCCGGTGATTTACCGCGATTTTAAAGCCTCTAACATACTTCTAGACGAGAACTTCAACCCGATGCTCTCTGATTTTGGACTTGCCAAGTTAGGGCCAACGGGCGATAAAAGTCATGTGTCCACCAGGGTCATGGGAACCTATGGTTATTGTGCACCTGAATATGCTTCCACAGGTCAATTGACTACAAAATCTGATGTTTACAGCTTTGGAGTTGTATTTTTGGAAATGATCACAGGAAGAAGAGTCATTGACACCTCAAAACCAAGTGCAGAACAGAATCTTGTTCAGTGGGTAAGTTCCAACATATCATTGTCACTATGAAATGCTTAAGCAATGAGGTGACACTTTTACTTCCAATTAAAACATTGTTGAAACATTATGAACCATTCCAAACTTATATACACTAAAAAGGACAGTCTGGAGCACAAAATTCTCACTAGTGCGGGATCCTGAGAAGGGTCGAACCACATTGGGTCTAATACACACAATCTTACCTTACATTTCTGGAAGGGGAGCCTTGGCGTAACTGGTAAAGTTGCTGCCATGTGACCTCTAAGAGGTCACGGGTTCGAGCTGTGGAAAAGTCTCTTAAAAATGCAGGGTAAGGCTGCATACAATAGACCACCCTGTGATCCGGCCCTTCCCCGGACCCGCACATAGCGGGAGCTTAGTGCACCGGGCTGCCCTTTTTTACCTTACATTTCTACCGGAGGATGTTTTCACGACTTAAACCGGTGACCTCCTTGTCACACAACGGAAACTCTTACCCGTGTGTTAAACTGTATACCCTGACATCAATGTATCTTGACCTGTTGTAGCACGCAACTTGCCTGATTTACTTGACTCTTAAAGCTAAACTCTAACACAAATTGCTTGGCAGGCACAACCACTGTTCAAAGACAAGAAAAAGTTTCACTTAATGGTAGATCCAATGCTGAAAGGGAACTACCCAAAGAAGGGACTGTACCAAGCTCTAGCAATTGCAGCAATGTGTCTGCAACAGGAAGCCAGTGTTCGTCCGTTGATCAGCGATGTAGTCACTGCTTTGGCATATCTATCAGGGAACAAGAAAAAGGAAGAAGAGGAAGCTGCAGAAGACACTTCCAAATCCCCAGCTCCATTGCAAAGTAATGCAAATAACACTGAAACTATTGAAAGCAATGAAGCTAATGTTGATACAGCAAAACACTAAAACCTTCTAAGCATAATCAATACTTTTTCTTGTGAAGTTTCTTCAGATTTTGTACATTGTGTTAGGACAATATAGCCTTTCATGACCATGCTTATGTATTAACACATATACTTAACATTTTTAAGGGGCTAATGTACATAAGATGCATATAGATACAATGACTAAAGTCCTGTAACTTTTCAAGTTTATTCAAAGATACATGACCATAGTTCAATCTATCAATGTTAAATGGACACCTCCTCTATATATGAAGAACATTTATATGTTAAGTATAACTGTTTTTATTTTATTTTATATTTTTAATGGATAAATTAGGTTACAATGACCAAAGTCAACTAACTATTTGGATATAAAGATGGCAGCCCGATGTACAAGGCATTCCGTGTTCACACAGGAGCCGGAGAAGGGCTGTACCTCAAGGGACGTGATGTAAACAACCTATCCTAGTGCAAACATTAGTTACTGTTTTCACGGCTCGAACCATAACTTATAGGTCACACGGAGACAACTTTACCGTTGCAAAGGGAAAAGGGGTGTGAAAATAAAAGAAAAAAGTAGTAACCAAGTATATAAGGGGACCGGGAATTTCTCTATTCCCGTGCTCAAACCTGAGACCTCTAGCTTAGGATGGAGGAAACTCATCCATCCCACCACACCCTTTCGTGTTGATCCTTTACTAAACGTTATATATGAATCTTATTTAACTTTCACAGACCACTTTACTATTAAGCTGCGACAACAATCCGTGACACAATTTTTGTTAAGATGACAGCAAAATTGTGATTTGCAAGCGAAGCAGACTGCCCAAGTACATGAATTTGAAGAATAAAGCATCGCAATTTACATCAAATCTCAAAATATCAATCAATGCAGAAATGTTATCCAAGGTGAACAGGAGAAAATTCACGAGACATAACTTCGTGCAACAGGTGGAACCAGCTAGAAGGCAGCTACTTCTCCAGCTCTTGCAGATCAATATCCCAAGCAGATGCCAATTGCAACAACAGTTGCTCTGGTGTTGCACCTTCCCAATCCTCGGGAATGTCTACCGATGATGAAATTTCATTCAAATTAAACAGCAGCTCTTTTTTCACTTCCATAGGAATGTCCACTACATCAGGTCCATTTTCTACGACAATATCTAGCAACTGAAAATACAATGGAAAAAAACGACATAATTTAGTCAGTATAACTATAAACACTTAATTACATTATATATCAAACTTCAGTTTAAGTGGTACAAACTTCACAGATGAAACAAAGGATTTCGACTCAGATTATGAGGGGAAAGAGAGAAAATGATGTGGAAAATAATTAAACTTTAAGGCCCGCTCTATTATAAACGAAACAATTGTTTTCTGGAAAATAGTTGTTTTATTTTCTAGAAAAACATGTACAGATTTGAAATTCTTTTTTTGGGAAACGAAAGGCTCGTCCAAGATTAAATCTTCCAGCACACAAGAAAACACGTGTTTCCAAAAATAAAGCTAAACAAACTAAAAATAGAACTATCTTGCAGTCCAGACACGATATTCCTAATTGATTAATTCACCAGAGAACAGCATTTGAAAGCCTTAGCTGATGATAGAGGTTTATGGGTTTAGATCTGAAGTGGTTAAGCACCAGATAGTAACAATTGAAGAAAGTAGTATTCCCTCCATTCCAATTTATGTGAACCTGTTTGAATGAAAACTTTTGGAATTTGTGGTCCTAAACAAGTTAAAAAGGGGCCCAGAGTATTTGTGTGGTTATAAAAGCTTCTCATCAAGGGTAGAATTGTAAGTTTAAACTAAATTGTTTCCAAATTTAGAAAGGGGTCATTCTTTTTGGAACGGAGCAAAAAGGAAATAGGTTCACATATACTGGAACAGAGGGAGTATGTAGTTGTAGAAATTAATGTGAAATATGAATAATTTGTCTGTTATACAGTAAAGATGCTCTTTCAGTCGCATAATATTGACAATGAAATGAACAGTTCAAGGCACAATTTTCCATTAGAGAAATCCAGCGGCAAACTAAAGGGAAAGCTGACAGATTGAGTCCTACTTATCAGCATGTTACGTAGAAAGTCATGATTTTACTTGAGCTCAATCCGAAGGAAATGCTAAATGTAGAAGGCTTATACCCAAAAGTGAATGGAATAGATTTCATTTAATTCTCTTGATAGTGAGGCTTATTTTTTGAATGAGTGAGCATGAAGATAATGTTTCGAGCCCATTACCTCATTATTAACATTCAACACACAGTAGCCCAAGTTTAAGTACATGTATCAAAAGCACACAAAATAAGGCACACTATCAAAACACAAGAAACTGCCTTTCTATGTTGTACAAGAGAAAAGCATTTCAGATACAACATAAGTTAAGCCATGAAGCTAGGTGAGATTGAGATCAGGCGCTTCGCTCGCTTAAGTGGCACCTTAGTCCAGGTACCAAGGCACTAAGGAATGACCTCATCACCCACAAGTTTCTCGACAATAAATAAAAAGTATTACACTAATTGTTAACAAAAAGTTGTAAATTTTTCTGTGATTAGATAATAAAAAAGAAATTTGTAAAGAAACTAATCACTAGAACTCAAAACCGTGATTACTAGTTTGGAGGTGGGAAATGGTAGTAGGATTAAATTTTGGCTGGATATTTGGTGTGGTAATGAGAGCTTCAAAAGCACATTTCCCCAGATCTATTTAATTGTGCGTTGAATAAAGAGGGCTATGTTGCAGGTTTTAAAGCAGAATCAGGATGGAATGTTACTTTCAGAAGAAATCTGAACGACTGGGAAGTGGATAGTTTCTGTGAACTGCTTCAACTTCTGAATTCATGTTCAATAGATCAACACAAAACATATAGGCTAATTTGGATCGGCAGCTGGGATAACATATTCACAGTGAATAATTGTTACAAAATGTTGCAACAACAAACTAGTCAGGGAACTCTAAACTGGCCTTGGAAGATGATTTGGAGAACTAAAGCACCTATGAAAGCAGTTTTTTTTGGTTGCCTAGCAGCTAGGGATGCCTGCCAAACTCAGCATAAGTTACAGAGGAGAGTGTTTTCTCTGTGCGGTAGATGTTATTTTTGCAACTCAGAGGAGGAAACAGTTGAGCATCTCTTCTTGCATTGCAAATTTTCAAGAGAATGCTGGGAAATTTTCTTGAACATAGTGGCAATCTTTGGTGCTACCTCAGAAGATTAGTAGCTTGCTGGAAATGTGGCAATCCCAGAGAGTGAAAAGAAGCTTAAAGCTAATATGGAAAACTATTCCCAACTGCATAATGTGGACATTATGGCTGGAGCGAAATAAAGCATGCTTTGAGGGAAAGAGACTGCAGATTGCCAGAGTCAAAAACAAATGTATTAAAAATTTGTATTTCTGGTGTTATAGCAGTTCTTTAGATGAGACGGACCAGTATTTGGATTTTTTGCACTTGTTAGGAGAAAATATGTAGTATGAATTAAGTAAGAGTAGTATTCTGGTCCTGTACTTTTTTTTCTATGTACCATCTTGGTACCAGTTATAATAAAATCTTTACTTATCAAAAAAAAAAAAAAAATTACCGCATCTTTATATCTAAATCTTTTTGAACTTGATTGACATCATTTTTAACTACATTTACTATCTTAATTATAGTTTTCCTTATCAAAAAAGTTATTTCTATACATATTTCTTATCTTTTTCTGCATCAGCTTTTTCTTCGGTAAAACCGAAGTTTTAATCGTCATTGCACTTAAAGCCACAAAGCTTAGTGTTTTCCTAGGCTTTTCGCCTTTGAAAACTCTGTAGGTAGTCCCATAATGGTGTCCTAGCCGTCAAAGTCATTGTGAACTCGGTACGACGATAAGGAGCAGTTGGTTGATACATCAACCTTATCTTTCAAGGCATGTATTCACATCATTTGAGATGGGAGCAGATGCGTGGGTTGTTTAATCAGTCACCTTAGCTCCTTCGGTTTTTATAAACTCAATGGTAAATACACTCCATTCTGAGTTTACAAACTAGGTAGCTTAAAAAAGCTCGTTGCTATATGTGGTCTTGGAGTGCAAAATGAACAGATTCTGCATGGCACAACGAAGGCTAGGAATTTGACTCTCCGCAATGCTCCCATTCAAAACTTGATTGCTTGTATCAGGTAAGAGGAGGTTGTAGTTATGTGTACGAATCAGGATGAGGAACTACAGGTTTCTGTCAGAGGAACTCTATGACGTCTACCTACTAACCCGAGAAGACAACTAAAACTACAAGAAATTTTTGCTAGGGAAACAACTTTCTCTGGAAGAAGAAAAATCTATTAACATGAACTCAAGAAAGGGCATCAGAGATATTTTATTTGTACCTGTTGGACCCAAGATAAACAGATGTCTGTCAAGTTTGGCTCCATAAAAAACTGAGCAATAGCATGCAAGGCTTCACTTGCCACCTCATTAGATAGTTGATCGATCACTGGGCCTGATCTATCCATCAGCTTCACAAGCAAGAAATCGTCTCCAGTAGACAGAACTTCAGAGAAAGCTGATTCCATATCACCCACAGAAAATGCATCCATTGCATTGGTCCAGGAATTCCAAACCGGATCACGCTCTCGCACGATGTTGTCATCTGTTAGTGCTTCAGCCTCTAATTCTGGAATAGCTACTCTAGCGCCTCGAGCAGTTCCATTGTCTTCACCAGCCACACGGATTGCCTCCAAAGTTGCTTCATCCTTTGAAGCTTGCCAGATACTTCTGGCAGAAGGTCCCTCGCCAAACCTAACGGGTCCCGCTCCTTTGGCCCACCCTCTCCTGGTGCCAGCCTGATCTATCTCGTTTTCTGGTTTAGACGACCTAGCGTCCATGTGCCCACCACCTAAACCTCTCCTAGAGCCCAATTGCCCATTCTTACCATATGCATGAAAGTCCCAAGCATCAGGATTATCCAATCTCCCTGGTGGGCTCCTTCCCCTCATGCCCGAAGAATTACCATCAGATGGCACAAACCTTTCGCCAAATGAGATGCTCCCTTCACTACCTCTACCTAGCTTGGTGCTGGAGTAATCATGGAAGCTATTATACTTCCCAAGAGGCCTATTATGAGATTCATCAAATCTCGCCGTAAAAGTAGTACCACCTCTTCGACCTGCTGAAAGCGACAAATCACGTGCCATGTCTTCAACAACTCTTTCAAGGCCACGTACTCTGTTCTCAAGAGCCACCATGCTACCATGAGATCCGCCCATGAAATCCTGCAGTTGGGGAGATCTGTTGGTAGAAAAGTGGCTAGTGAAACCATTGTAAAAATAAGAAAACTAACTAAATAGGCGAACCTGCAACATATTTGTCAGATGAGCTTGTTGCTTCTCCAGAAGTAACAATTGCCTTTGAATAGCTAACCAGTTTCCTTTGTTAGCCATAAATCCCTCAGATGGACCAGAATTTTTTGCAAAACCAGCACGGCAACTGGATGATTCCCTCTGATTCAGATCTCCCTCGTCAACAGTATCATGTTCTCTGCCACTTACTCCGGAAGTTTGACTCTCCGTGTTACTGTACCCGGCATCCAGCTGGCTTTTCCTCATTATTCTCTGTCCTGTTTCTGCTTTGTCTGACTCAGACTCTACTTCAGTTGGTGCATTTGATGCATTAAGACATTGACGAGGGACAACCACTTCCACCGGCAAATCACCTGAACTCCTTTCTTCAAGTTTCTGAAAGAATTCTGGGTTCAATTTTCTGTCCGACAATGCTGGAGCTCTCTTCTTTAATATGCCCACTGTTTTATCAGAAAAGTTGCTAGCCTGAGTTAGGAAATAGAATTATCGGAAAAAGTTCCATAAATGAGTCCTTGACCAAAGCCTCATTCCACTCACCAGCATTTAGGAGGTCCTTCTTTTCTGACGATCCCGTAGATTCAGAGGATTCGCCAGCTGAAATGATAGTTCCATTTAAAGCAGGAAGGAAATCTATACCATATAAAAAATTACACGCTTCCCGGCTTACCATGACTTGAAGCTTTCTGATCGTCTGTGGCTCCATCTTCTTTCCCTGCAATTTTCTTCCAGTGCTGCAATGCCTCCAGCATACTATCTCTCACGGGTTTTATCTGGAAAAGCCAATTACATTTTAATTAGCTAGAACAAAATTACCTATAATGACATACAAATAACATATATTTGCTGAAGTTGAGTGCCGGCACTAAATTAACATTTAGCATAGAGTTAGAATCTATTCGCAAACTTCATATTCAAAGATATGAATAACTCTAATCTTATTCACTTTTTCATTTTGTTTAGTCAAAATTAAGTTTATTTTTTATTTATTCAAGTTTGAGATGCTCCGCAATAATCGTGTCAACAGAGGTGTTATTGTTCACCCACCAACTTTAGCACCGTCTAATTTGGCCTTCAGCATCAAACTCATACAAGGTTTGAATCATTTCAACTCTCTTATGGGCAACACTGGCTAGTCATGATTCTCGATATTGTTGACCAAGCTTTACCAAACTAGTGTTATAGTACCCTTCAAAAATAATCTATGAAATTACCCAAACACTATGTTAAAGCATTACTACATGAAGGTACCTTGTCAAACCGAGAAGCTTCAAGCACGGTTAAAGTGGAAGTGGCTCCCCCTGCTACCAAGTTGCTTGAATTCAACGCCAAGGCGCTTAATGTATCAGCTGCAGCCTTACGAGTTGCCCAATCCGAATTGCTGAGGCATTCGTGAATGGTCTGCAATAAAGGTTCCAAATTTTGCGGTGCTATGGCCCCTACCTGCAGTAGTATGGTTTCTGAAGGCTTTAAATATCACCACAACCACTTTAAAGATGACTTAAGTTTTCTATATATGATGCCAAATAGAACGCACAAGAAGAAAGACAAATTTGAAGCTGTTCTATATATGATGCCAAATAGAATGCACAAAGAAAGACAAATTTGAAGCTGTTCGTTATCTCAATTTATTGTTCTGATGTGATGCTTATGCCCTATGCAACAATTAAGAAAAGAACAAAGCAGCATTTCAACATAACTTGATCTGATTGATCCATGCATCAGTAGAATATTTGAATGTATTTCTAAAGAATTTCACAAATTTGGGGGCCCTCTTTTTTTTTCACACCATCTTAATTTAAGGGTATATTTTAAGGAAACGACAGGGCATTCTTCCACTCAATGTTTGACCTTAAATCCTTCTTTCCACTTCAAGAAATCTTATCCTAGAATGCACAGCCTTTCCAAAATTATCACTTGGCTAACTACATTATCAAATGTTTCTCACGGTGTTTTTGCTTTTCTAGACCTAATTCATCCCTCTAGTTGTTTTAGATCTATCTATACCCATACTTATGCCTGATCATCACCTACATGTTCAAATTATGCTTAGTGCACAACAATAAATATTAGAATGCACTCCTAAGATACATGCAGATGGGGGAAACCAACTGAATCAGACTAATAATCATCATTGTTAAACAAGTTCAGAGAGGTGAAAGTGCTTTGAGAACCAAGAAAGACGCAGAAATGCTACCTTAATTATTTGCACAATACAAATATCAGGTTATTGTTTATAATAACTGACAAGTGGCTGCTTCCTCAAAAAGAGGCATTTGACCTCATATGATAATGACATGAAACAGTTCTAGAAAAATAGAATCTTCAAGCAGGCACATTGAGCATGGAAATAACAATTTCCTCATGGAGCACTAAATGCACACTACATAAGAAGCGCCATATAACCTTAAGGGGTCGCTTGGCTGGTGGGATAAGGGATAACAATCTCGGGATAAAATGCAGGATTATTTTATCCCGCGCTTGATTATGGGTATTAGTTAGTCCCGGGATTTGTACTAAAATGGTGGGATTAGCTATTATCTAATATAGAAGATGGGATAGCTAATCACATGAGATATCCTTGTCTATCCCATCCTGGTAACCAAACAACCCCCAAGTCTTTCACAAGACTCTAGTTTGGCTTTCTTTGTTCTCCCAAGAAGCCTATAGTCATTCTTTCTATATTGTACTGAAGGCGATTAGGTAGTGTATTTGGTTTTCTTATCACAAAAAGGTAATGGTATTTGATTTGTCATTTTGTAGCTAAACATCATTTATACAAAAATCAAAATATCTTACTCACTTTGAGTGTCAAAAGTGACATACAGCAAACAGATACATTTTAAAGCAAGCCAGTGTTGAACTGTGTGAACCCCTGGTCTAAAAGCTTTAAATTGTTGGAGAAAGGAAACTTTTATTTATTCGTTTCAAGTCTGCAACACAGGCCCTCACGTGCCGGCTGATGCTTTTGAACCAAATACGGGAAAATATTCCGATGATGCGCGGCATTGAGATTTAACATGTTAAATTATGTGAGCTATCTCACATAAAGCTTAAGCTATTAGAAAAATGACGCTTTTACTTATTTATTACTTATATTTGGCCAGCAACACTAGCACAAAGTTCACTGGCTTCAACTTAATATCAAGAATATAGCACTACATTCCCGAAATGAATAAACATGTAGCAATCTCAAGGTAAACAAAATACTCCTTAGTTCCTGTCTATGTGACACTATTTCCTTATTACTCTATTCCAAAAAAAGAATGACACGCTTCTATATTTTGAAACTAAAAAAGTTTGCACTTCCCATTTTATCATTAACAAGAAGCTTTTGTAGTCATACAAATATTATGGCATGTTTAAGGTCATAAGTTTTAGTTACATGTTTACAACGACAAATTTCAAACTGTCTTCATTTTTTTTCTTAAACTCCGTGAAAATGCAAACTATGTCACATATATTGTATCGAAAGGGAGTAGCTGCTTTAAGAGAACCTGTGATAAGCTTGACACAACAGGCAACAAAGAAGCCTTAGCCATGAAATTAGGATTGTTAAGGTACTTGCAAATCCTTGGACAAAGCTTTTGAAAAGCCAATAAAGGCGTTTCGGAAGCACATTCCACCATTTTAGCCATACACATAGCTGCACCACTCTGAACACTTTTACTATTCTCGTTCATTGCCTCAAACAATGGCTTCACAAACAATGCAACCCCACTTTGATCACTCTCTCCTTTCAAATACATCGAGGACAACGAGCCAATCGCATCGCGACACGCGTCCCTAACACCCGAATCAGCATCCTTCAGCTTTTTAACAATGCAAGCTATAATTTTGGTCAAATGGGTGGCAGCAGAATCGCTATGTGAAGTACATACGGTAGGGAGGAGTCGTAGGGATTCTTTTTTAACGGCGGGTTTAGGGTCGTTAGTGGCGTCGTAAAGGCAGTTGAGGAGCATTGAAACGCCGTCGTTTGATAGGGTTTGAATGATTTTTTCAAGATCCTCAACGGCGATCTGATGGGTATCTCTATCTGAGAGTTTAGAGAGAGATATAAGGATTCTTTGCTTCAGCTCAATCATGGCTAAATGGGAAGAAAATTGGTTTGTGGGTTTTGAAGGTTTTGTAGATTTGGGAACTGTTGAAGCCATTTTTTACTGAATCTTGATTGAAAAGATTGGATTTTTACAATGTGTGTGTGCGTGTGTGTGTTTGGAGGTCACTGTTAGTGAGGCATAATGGAAGTAGAGAAGGGAACAGAAGAAATTTGAAATTGTGAGAGTGAAGAGAGAAAGTTGGGTTTTGCTACAAAGGGAAGCAAAGAAGTAAAGAGCAGATGGGAAATTTTGAAAGGAAATGGAGATCTGCTCTCAGGAAACAGTTGGTGTGGAGCCAATTTTTTTGTCACATTTTTATTTCACTGAACTCTTTTATAAAAATAATTAATTTCGGAATTAAATTTAAGTTGAGTTTATCTCATATTTGAATGAGATAAATAGCAGCAACTAATTCTGAGATTATAGTATTATTTTTATTTTTATGAAAGAGTGGGATAACAATCCCGAGATAATTAATCTCGGATAACTTATTTTCTGACGAACGACTCCTTGCTCTATTGTTTGGTTCAATGATTGAAAAGGAAAACAATGAAAATGTTTCTCTAAGTCAAATAAAAGTTTTGAGTGAATTAATTACTCAAATAGTAAGAAATAAAGTTTAGCTTCAAAAATTTAAACTAACATGCTTTCTGTTTAGTGTTTTTCAATGTACAACAATATACCCAGTGTGATCTTACAAGTATAATCTACGAAGTGTGAGGTGTATATATACCTTGCCCCTACCTTGTATCAGATAGGGAAACTATTTCTGATATTAGTATTTTCCTAAGTAACAACAAAAAAAAAAAAAGGCAAAATGGAGTAATGCTAAAAAGGATAAAGGTTCAAACATATCCTAATATTTGTGAATTGTCTTAAATATACCCTTGTTTAACTTACAATTTTATAAATGCTCTGTAATATTAAAATCGTCTCAAATATGACCTCCCGCTAATAATTTTATACCGTAGAAAGAATCTGATTTGACTGACACGATGGAAGTCATGTGCAGCTATATTTGGACCTTCACAACTGGGTTCAGGGGTATATTTGGACCACCACCAAACATCATATCCATGTTACCTCCACGGTCTACCTTGGAGGATTGTTAGAAATAGGGGCATAAATGGGTTGGCTTTTTAGCGGCGAGAGCATCTGTGAGCTGATAGGTTAACAAAGGGTATTTAAGACTAATCACAAACTATATGGGTAAGTTTTGACATTTTTCCTACTAAAATTTGGTTGTACGTTAAGGAAACATATTTTTGAGATGAAAGGAGTAACCTGAGTGCAAGGGTAGTTTGGTTTATTTATGTGTTATCGGATTAGTTAGTTAGTTAGTAGCTAATGAAGTGATTGATTGGTTAGTTGGGTGGTTATATTAGTTGGTAACACATGTGTGTGTGTGTGTATATATATATATATATATATATATATATATATATATATATATATATATATATAGGTTGTACAAGGAATTTGTAGTGCACCTATGAAAACAAAAGGTGTATCAATTTCTAATGGTCTTGGATGACTCTTACTCACAAGCTCGTAGCCAAATCCTTATGATGAAACCTCTACCTTAAGTGAATCAAGCATATGTTATGCTCATGAATGATGAAAGTCAAAGAGATGTACCTGCTTCTGCTGGAGTATTAGGACCTTCTCCCACCGTGAATACACATCCTTATGACTCTATTGCACTATATAGTGCTACGCCTAATTTCTATCCAAAGTTAGGAAGAATTACAACATTCAGTGTGAGTTTTGCAAGATGAAGGGCCACAGTAAATAAAACTGCTACTCCCTTTATTCCAATTTATGTGAACCTATTTACTGGGCACGGAGTTTAAGAAAAAATGAAGACTTTTAGAATTTGCGGTCCTAAACAAGTCAAAACGGGGTCCAGAGTATTTGTATGGTTATAAATGCTTCTCGTTAAGGGTAGAGTTGGAAGTTTAAGCTAAATTGTTTCCAAATTTAGAAATGGGTCATTCTTTTTGGAACGGACCAAAAAGAAAATAGGTTCACATAACTGAAACAAAGGGAGTACAAAATATTAGGTTATCTACCAGATTATAAGTTCAAAAAGAAAGGGGGAGTTGGTGCTTACAATGCAATGGTAGAACCTGGTTACACTATGCCTATGTACTCTAACCGTGCCTCTCAGAACATACCAATGCATCCTATGCCTGCATATTATGTTCACCAACAAACTATGGGTCAAAGTGCTGAATATTCTCAGGCTCAAGGACATACTGCCCCTCAGGTTCAAGCAGGTTGTTCTTCTACACAAGTTCAGGGATCAGCAAGTACATCTTCCAAGGCTCAAGGAAGTGTTTTCCCTTTTACCAAAGAACGGTATGATCAGATAATGCAAATCCTGAACAATTTAACTTCCTTTGCTCAAGCAAATGTGGTAGATACTAGCACTGCCCTTTTAGCATCTACTAGCCCACAATAATGGATTATTAATACAGGGGAAACTAACCATATGATGTCAGATGTTAACTTACTGACCAAGACCTCTCTAATTGCACCCTCTAAGCCTAGAAGAGTCTTATTATCTAATGGAGATATCACTCAAGTAACTCACATTGGCGACAATCATATTTCAAACAGAAATGCTATTAAAGAAGTTTTCTATGTATCACAGTTCAAGTTCAACTTATTATCAGTCTCCAAAGTGACTAGAGATCTTAGATGCTTTGCCTATTTTTATCCTGATTTCTGTGTGTTCAGGATCTCTTTAGTGGCAGGGTGAGGGAGATTGGTAGGGAAAGAGATGGTCTATACTTCCTGCAGAGACATGGTGTCAAGAAGCTTGCTGCAGTCTCTTTAGCTGCTACTGGAATAAAGTCAAGACATGGTGACACTGATATTGATGTTGCCTTGTGGCATAAATTATTAGGACATGTATCCAATATAGTCCTTAGAAAATTATTTTCCGCCAAACTAGCAAGTATCACTAACACTATCAATAAATGTAGTGTATGTCCCTATGCTAAGCAAACCAGGTTGCCATTCCCTTCTAGTTGTATTAAAAGTATTATCGCATTTGATCTATAAGATCTTGATGTATGGGGTCCATATAAATGTGCCACTTTTGATGGTAATAAGTATTTTTTGACATTTGTTGATGATTTCACTAGGATGACTTGGTTATTTCTTCTGAAGCTCAAATCTGATGTGTGTGTTGTACTTGTTCAACTTGTTGTATTTGTTCAAAATCAGTTTGACAAAACAGTGAAAGCAGTCAGGTCTAGAAATGGCCATGAGTTTGTCAATTGTACTTGTGCCACCCTATTTCAGAAATATGGCATTATCCATCAAAGACATGTGCATATACCTTTCATCAAATGGAGTTGCTGAGAGGAAGTGCAGGTACATTTTGGAAGTCAAAAGAACTTTAAGGTTTCAAGCTAATATTCCTATCAAGTACTGCGGCCATTGTGTGCTTGCAGCAGTATCCATCATCAATCAATAGGATGCCATCTTCTGTTCTTAATGGTCTTTATCCTTTTGAATAGCTATATGGTAGAGCACCTACTCTGGAGCAACTGAGAACCCTTGGCTGCTTGTGTTATGCCAAGCAAGTTCATGAACCAGACAAATTTCTTTATAGGGCCAAGCCAACTGTTCTCATAGTTTTTTCTGATACTCAGAAAGTCTATGTTCTATTGGATCTTGCTAGTCGCTGCTTCTTCATCAACAGGGATGTCCCCTTCAGGGAACACATATTTCCTTTCAAAGACACTTCAACCCCAGCACATCATATTTTCTTGCCTCCTGGCTCATCTACTTATAGTGAAGAGCAGTTCCCATCATTTTCTACTCATACTAGCTCCAGGCATGAGGATGACGACTCAAGACATGAGTCTCCTCTATAGCAACATCCTGCATCATAAGTGGTGCATTCTTCATTGCCTTCCCTTGACCAGAACTCCATTGTTCTGAGAAGATCTTTAAGGACAAAGCAGGCTCCCATCTGGATGAAACACTTTGTGTCACTGCCAGGGCACAACTCTGTTCCTTATTCTATTTCCAATTATGTGTCTTATGATGGACTATCATATAAGTATCGGGCATATCTGGTTTCCTTCTCCATTATTGGAGCCTACAACCATTGAAGAGGTTGTTTAAGATCCTAAGTGGGTAGATGCTATGCAGGCAAAAATTGCTACCTTGGAATCTAATCACACCAGGGATGTGGTCTCTTTACCTGAAGGAAAGGTGCCTATTGGCTGCAAGTGCATTTACAAGGTGAAGTACAAAGCTACAAGAAAGGTGAAAAGATTTAAAGCTAGGCTTGTGGCCAAAGGCTACAACCAGCAGGAAGGCATTGATTATCATGAGACGTTTAGCCTAGTGGTCAAGATGGTTACTATCAGAACAATTCTAGCTGTGGCTGCCTCAGAGCGTTGGCACATTCATCAGATTGATGTGCACAATGCTTTTCTTTAAGGAGACTTACATGATGAGATCTATATGACTCTACCAAAAGGATTTCAGAGTCAGGGGGAGACCAGACCAGCATGTAGACTCTTGAAATCCTTGTATGGACTCAAACAGGAACCAAGACAGTGGAATGCCAAGCTATATGAAGCACTACTGAGGTTTGGCTTCATGCAGAGTCAACATGATCACTCTTTGTTTGTAAAAGGGTCAAGCAAACACATCATAATCATTTTGGTCTATATTGATGATATGCTCATCACTGGACCTAATCTGACACTAATAACTGAGATTAAGACTAAGCTTCAGCTGGCATTCAAGATAAAAGACTTAGGAAAACTTAAATGTTTTCGTGGCATTGAGTTTGCCAGGGCACAACAAGGCATTCTAATGCACCAATGAAATACACACTAGAGCTAATTTCTGTGCTTAGGCTGGGAGCTACAAAACCTGCAGCAACACCTATTGAGGTCAACATCAAGTTAACCACCAAAGAATATGGTGAGCACACTGCAGTCCTAATGCAACGGATGATGAAGTCTTAACAAACATCAGTAAGTACCAAAGACTGCTAGGGAAGCTACTCTACTTAATTATCACAAGACCAGATATAACTTTTAGTGTTTAGACACTAAGCCAATTTATGCAGAAACCAAAAATATCACTATAGAAGATGCTCAAATGATAGTCAGATATGTGAAGGGTCAGCCAGGACAAGGCATACTTCTATCTAGCATACGAAGAAACACCATCACAGCATACAATGATGCAGACTGGGCAGCCTGCCCTCTTACTAGAAAGTTAGTGACGTGCTTCTTCATCAAGTATGGTAACTCTTTGGTATCCTGGAAGTCAAATAAACAAAGCACCATCTCTAGGAGCTCTGTAGAATCAAAGTAAAGAAGCAATGCATCAACTGTCGCTGAATTGGTTTGGATACTTAGTTTGTTCAAGGATATTGGTATAGTAGTTGATCTTCATGTGAACATCTACACTGACAGCAAAGTAGCAATTCAAATAGCTGGCAACCCAGTGTTTCATGAATGAACTAAACATATTGAGATAGACTGTCATTTTATAAGATATAAAATACAGAATGGTCTGGTGCAAACAGAATATGTAGCAACCAAGGAGCAGCTAGCAGATATTCTAACCAAAGGTCTAACCCGAGTGAAACATGAGTATTTGATGTCCAAGCTAGGGGTACTTGATGTCTTCATACCACCTAGCTTGAGAGGGAGTGTTGAGATAAAAGGAGCAACCTGAGTGCAAGGGTTGTTTGGTCTATTTATGTGTTACCGGATTAGTTAGTTAGTTAGTAGCTAATGAAGTGATTGATTGGTTAGTTAGGTGGTTATATTAGTTGGTAAGACATGTATATATATATATATATGCTGTACAAGTGATGGAATGACAGAGAATTCATTTTACTGCTTCATTCATTTTAGCTTCTCTTTCAGATAACTGCTCTCATCCTCTCTTCTCCCTCGTTAGCTAGGGTTTTTGCTCCATCTCAATTCCTTACTTTAGCACATACCTACTCAGACGGGCAAAAAGGTTGATAGCTTTTTTACACTATTTTTGGATCATTATTACCCATCGTTTTATAATATATTATATTGTATTGTATTGTATAGTATCGTTTTATGGATACAATATTTGAATAGATTGTATCGTTTACTGTTGTTAAATAACATTTTTGTTGTTTGGTTTGACTGTATCGTTTTGTACTGTAATAGATAAATTCACCAAAATACCCCCAATAATTTTTTATATAAAATTTATTAAGAATTACAAGTAAAAGTAATTTAAGAAAACATCTTTCTGCTAATTCATCATTAAGCACGTAGCTTGGAAACAAGAGCAAAAACCTAGAAAAAAAAAGATTAACTAATATTAGCAAAAAAAAAAAAAATTAAAACGATGGAAATAGATAAAGAATCGAATGGAGACTTGGATAAAAGAACGGAGAAAACCAACTCTAGAAAAGATGGAAGAAGACAAAGTATGTCAATAAGTTGGAGATTGGAGTTAAAATAAAAAATAATTAAATGATAAAATAGAATTATGGAAATAAGTAAGGGCATAATTGGAAAAGAAAATAGGAAACGATCCCACCACATCGAATCGGTTGTTTCATAAAATGGGGTTTTTGATTATCCCGAAACAATACATTTAACAATACGATACAATTCATAAATAAATAATCAAAACAAATATTGTTTTGTGATAACAATACAATAAGAGACAACTGGTAACAACCATCCAAACAAGCTGTTAGCTCTCACATGTTACAAAGAGAGTAAAGCATAAAAAATTATAGTGCATAAATACCTCATAAATTAAGTATGAAACTAGCAAAACGTATCTAATTTATTATGGCCTCGATGTATTTTTCCTTCTAACAAAATAATGTATATACTCATACCAAAGTACAGTATATATTATGTCACACAGGAATAGTAAATACAAGTCACGTTCAAGAACCAGAAAACGAATAAAATAAGCCAAAAACATAATCAAAAGGGGAGCTTAACCTGTCAGATATCGCCTCTAAAATCTTCTTCGTTTGACCATTCAGATACGTTGCCCAAAATAGGCCCCATCACAAGTTAAAAAACATAGAGATTGGTGCGTCATTTAGCACAAGATACCTTGAAATTGACACAAAATCATTGAAAATATAAGTCAATTGAGCTCCCGTGAATTAGTCGTTTGGTACGAGGTATAAGTAGATATAGTACTGGTATAAAATTTTAATATCACTTTAATACTTTATTTGGTTAGCAAACTTGGTACTATAAGGGGTCGTTTGGTACGAGGTATAAGAAGGTATAAGGGTGATATAAAAATTTAATACCACCTTAATTCTCTCTTTGGTTAGCAAACCAGGTATAAGTTATCTCGGTATTAATTTTAACACTGGGATAACTTATACCTTATAGAAGGTGGGGTAATTAGCACCGGTATAACTTATACCTTCTTCTTAGAAATTATGCAATTGTCGTTCTTAATTCAACATACCAAACAATGAATAAACAACAATCCCAGCATAACTAATCCCAGCATAACTTATCCCAATATAACTTATACCGGCATAACTTATACCGGCATAAATCATATTCCAACCAAACGACCCCTTTTATCCCGAGATTAAAATTAGTACAGGAATAACTTATAGTACCTTGTCGGGGTGTGGTAATTAGTGCCGAGATAACTTATACCTTCTTCTTAGAAATTATGCAATTGTCATTTTTAATACAACATACCAAACAACGGATAAAAACAATACCAGTATAACTAATCTCAGCATAATTTATCCCAGCATAAGACATATTCAAACCAAACGACCCTTTATAGTAATAAATTTATAGTACTGCTTTTGCTGATGGACTGGTCGGTGTTGCATTACTCTTGCTTTCATATGTTCTTGTGGGGTTTGTTTGACAATCTTTATTTGTGACTCATTTTCTCTTGACACTTTTGAAGAGCTCCATTTGCCACTTTCCTGGTAAATTTCTAATCATAATCTTAATTATGAACTTTGTTATCACCTATCTTTTGATTTAGTACATTGTGATCACATAGTTTTAGATCTATCTATTCATTTGACTTCATAAAGTTTGAATTTTTCTGTGTTTTCTAATTTTGGGTTCCTCTTGTTAGATTTCTACTACTACATATTGTTCCTTTCGCTTTCGTTTTCTTATTATCTTGTTGTTGTTACTGCTTGTTACCACTGCTTTCGCTTCATCTTTCCTTGAGCCGAGGATTTATCGAAAACAGCCTCTCTACCTTCTAGGTAGGGCAGAGGCGGATTTACATGGACCCAAGCGGTGTCACGGGATACCGCTTCGTCGAATTTTTTACTATTTATATATATATAAATAATAAGTAAAACAGAAATACAAGATAAAAGCGTTAAAAGTGACACCACTTGCAACAAAACAGCTCAGTAGTCTAGCGATTGACAGCTTCAAGTTTGATGTAAGAGGTCTTGGGTTCAAACTCCCCTGGCTCCCCACTGAGGTAGGGGTAAGGTCCGCGTGCACACTATCCTCCCCAGACCCCACTTGTGGGACTATACTGGGATTCGCACTCTCCAAAATGTCCGGGATCCTCCAAAATACACTACTTTTGAAGGATCCGACATGCACCTAGCGAAAATATTAGATAGTCCGAGCAACATAGCTTGCTACGTTCCACCAAGGGTCTTTTATCTCAGCCGAGAATCTATTCTAGTTATTTTTGCTAGAAACTTATGAGAACATATATTTCTGCTCAATTTTGCACTTATTGTCATTAAAAAAGGAGAGTAAAGGTTGCATAATTCTTCACAGCTACTAACTTAAAATTTTGCGCTTTAAAAGTTTCAGAGTCAAAACAAAATTTGAGTTTTTGGTTTGACTTACTGTCTACTATGTTGCATTATGTCAATCCTTTTTTGCTCTCATCGTGATGTTAGCGTTTGACCATAGATCCAAAATTTATTTTGAAAAATCTGATTTGGGTGAAGTTTGGTTTGAAGATGAAAATGTGTTTGGACATACGATTTCAAAACATATTTTTTAACTTTATTTTGGGAAAACATGTATATAATTCCCAAGTTTTGGAAATTTGGCCCAAATTTAGCTGAATTTGAGATTTCAAATATGTGATTTGAGTTTTGGCCAAAATGTGGGTCAAATTTATGGCCAAACATGGGATTTGAAAATAAATTTCAAATTAAATTTGGGAAAATGTATGGCCAAACAGGGGTAAGTTTGTTGGATATTTTAAGCAAAACATGGTTTTTCCCTATTTTGATAGTTCTTTTTTGTTCCTTTTGCGGATAGATCGGGGTGGGGTGGGGTGGGGTGGGGATATAGTTGTGGTGCTGTCCAGTAACGACAGATTTTAAGCTGTACAGATGAAGAAGATGGCGATTGAGTAGAAACGAAAGGACTAATCGCTATGTTGCTCGAGACTCTCCGAAAATGTCAGCGGGTGCGTGTCGGATTCTCCAAAAGCAGTGTATTTTCGGAGAATCCGACACGGTGCGGCAATATTTTGGAGAGTTTGCGCAACATTGACTAATCCGGTTTATGTTTCACTGTTATCTTGCACTGGCGAATTCAATTTCCATCAGCCATTGTTTTCTGGTAATAATAGTTGAGAACGTGTTTTAGATGTTTGCACTATTCCTTCTATGAGTGATTTAGCCTTTCAGAGATTTATTTGGTTATAAAATATACATAACTTCTAATACTTTTTATATCTATTTGCATAATATAGGCATAAGATGAGTTTAAATGAAGTTACGGGGGTCAGTGATGATTTATACAGTTGACCCCAACTTGTTTGGGACTGAGGCGTACTTGTTGTTTGTTTCTACTACTCTCTCCAACCTAACCCTGCTAGTTAATATCCATGGATCAGCTGGTTAAACTTTATTTTCTATTACGAGAAGATTTTAGCTGAAAATGATCGAATCTGGACAATCCTTTGGGCGTAGACATTCTTTTGTTGGTAAATCTGAGAAATCTGAACAGAACTTTTCAGTTTAGATCTGCTCCTTTACCCTTTTTAAGCCTCTTAATGTTAGTTCAAATATTAGCGATAGTGCGATACCAAGATGGTTGACTGTGCAGCTCTGAGAGTTAGATTTCAATGTTCTATACTTCATCTACAGTTAGATATCAATTTTGTTATATACTCTGTCTGCTTTCTCAGTTATGATGATAGGTGTAATTGGGTACTCGTGTTTGATTTTTTTTCTATCGATAGCATATTCATATATCTTAGCTGTAAATATAATATAAGTAAAATAACTCTCCTTTTTGTCTAAGCAAATCAGAACTGGATGAGATAGAAGTTTTTCCCAGTCGCGTACTTTCCTACTAAAGAATCCATTGTCTCCCCGCATGTTGTGATTTTTCAAACTTCTGATGAACTTGGCTGACATTTTAGTAGAATTTGCAGTGAAGTGAAGATTATGTTCTGGTGAGTATAATAGTGGTTTCCGAATCACTATTATCTTGAAATTGTATCTTTTCTACGCCCTCCAATTACTATATGCTGTTGCTGTTTGCCTTTACATTGCAAATAATACAGTTGACATTTATCTGGAGGTAGGGCGGAGCTAGCTCTTTGGCGATGGGTTTGGCGAAACCCAGTAGCTTTTGTCCAAAACCTGTATTTGTCTTAAAAATATATTGAATGTGTACGAACTATTAATTTAGATACCAGTAAATTAAAACGTACTATAATCCCGAACCTCATAACCTTCATTTCCTCGCTTCGCCTCTGTCTGGAGGAGCTGTATTTCTCAATCTCCCCTTAGCTCTTTTAGATGCTGTTCATAATAGTGTATATATGTATGGAAAATCAAAAAATTGGAAGAAGCAACGAAATTTATGCCGACCATGATTTCATGTTAATCTAGGCTATGTAGCTCATCCCATCATACCAACTTTCTTACGCGTGCTCTGCTTGCTATTGTCTTACAGGGTGCAACTAAATATCTGCTAGATCAATCCTGGAAAATTTGAAAAGCATGGCCCAAACATTAGAAGCGATCAAGGTCGGTGGAGGTTCTGTTAAAGTGGGAACTACTGGTAAAGTCAGTGCCTTGATGTCAAGAGAATTAGATTCCAAGAAACCTGATTCTCAGACGCCAACGTCATCCAAGAATAAGTCTCCTAGTGTTTGTGGTTTCATTCCTGGTAGCGCGACCAGTCCAAAGAGAATGAAGCCAAGAACATCAGGCGATGAAGCAAGCAGCAGCGGGACATCAAAACATAATAATAGTAAAAGCCCTGAATTTGTCAGGAAGACGAAACACTACAGTAGAAAAACACATCAAGTTCCGATACTAGAATCAGAAAATACTTCAGTTGATGGAACTCCTATTAGCCAGAAAACAGACAGAAAGGGACCTTACATGGTAGAAATTGTGGACATAAAATGCAGAAGTATGGACAGAACTTGGGCAAATCCTATAAAAAATAGCCTGAAGAAGCTTGGTTTCACAAAACTATCTGAGAACGCGGTCTAATTACGCAAAGCTTCAAATATCAGCCTTTAGATTCCTGTAAGTGAATCTTGAAATTACAGTTGGTGGATTACATTCTGCAACTTCTACCATTGAACACATGCTCGGCATCAGCTTACAACGCCGTCTTTTCTTTTTGGGATTCGTAACCAACGATCCAAGCTTTGGCCTAGAGTGACTGTTAGTAGAAGCCAGTTCTGAAACTTGACGCGGCTTCTGCGTGCTGTTGTGATGGTTTAGTTGCAGCCTGCTGAAGTACTCAATTTCTTGTAACACGAGGGATCCAACGGTTCCTCTGCTACCTATCTCAACGAGAGGATTATTCGCAGCCATCTTCTCAACAACTGTAAATCCTAAGCCATTGGCTTTATACTCAGATTTTTGCATGATATGAGAGAAAGTTATGGTATGAGGTTGGTGTTTTGCCTTGATCTGAGAATTGGTCATTTTGGTTTTAGGCCTAATTCACATGACTTTGTTTACCTTATATGCTTTATCTCATAAAGTGAAACCTATGGGCTTAAATGAAGATAAGGAGGCTCTCTGATCACCTTATTCATGTGTTTGTAGTTAAAAAAACTTTAAATTTGCTCAAGTTGTGTACCAACTTCTAACTATTTGTGCATTCATTTTATAATAGTTCTACCTAGAATAGGTCAGGGCCTCAGGGGTCCGAGCCATGAAATTAGCCACTAATGCTTGTATTAGGGTAGGCTATCACATTATATCCCTTGGGATGCGGTCTTTCCTCGGACCCTACGTGAATGCGGGACGCTTTGTGCACCGTACTGCCTTTTTTTTAAACCTAGAATAGGGGGGGTGATAAATTTATTTGTCTTTAATAGCTTGTTTGGATGGTTGTTACGTATCGTTTCATAATGTATCGTATAGTATTATATTGTACTATATCATTTTGATGTCACTGTAATGTTTGGATAGATTGTATTATTTTCCATCGTTTCATGATGTCATGCACCAACAATATGAATAATAAATTTGCAATATTATAAAGAAAAAATAGGTACGAGGTATAATTATTATATGAAAAGGTATGGTATTAGGATAAAATATGATTATTTAATAATATGGAAGGGCAAGATGAGAAAAATAAAATAAAGGAACGACGCGATCACACCAAATCGGTCGTTTCATAAGGTGACTCTTTTCGTCGTTACGTAACGATGGATTTAACGATCCGATACAATAAAAATTTAAGTAACAATCAAGATAACACAATATATTTAAAGTAACAATATGATACAATGCAATAGATGAGAACCATCAAAACAAACTATAACCTTTTGTGTGAAAACTTATGTTTTTGCTGTTGAACTTAAACATCCTATAGCTTTAGCCCTCTTAATACTACAAATTGATATAAGAATTAATTATGGTAAATGAGCTATGTTTTTAGGGTCATAGGCTTTTACTTCTGTGATTAATTTCTCCTAAGTGGCAATGGAGATGGTAAATAGATTATTGGTTTTGCACCTAAGCGTATGGCCGAGCGTCAACGAATGAATTGAGTGAAAATCATTGACGATCAAGATTCAAATTTTAGCGGAGAAAACAACGAAATGAAGTGATATTTTCTCATCTTTCTAAGTCTAGGTGGGTATGTTACCTGATACTTTTGCTAGTGGAATGCAGCAGGTACCTGATGAAATAATTGAGGTATACGGAAACCGGCCTCGACACCACCTTTATCTTTTAAGAAAAAGATGGTTGGTCCTTAAAACTTTTTCTTAGGAGATTTGATCTTGAATTGATATTGGTAATCCCTCTGTTTTTATTTACTTGCAGCATTTTGCTTTTCGAGAGTCACTTTGACTAATTTTTAAAACTAAATTGGATTAAATAATCTTCGCATCTTAAAATTATTAGATGTTCGAAAACTATACAAAAGTACTATAATTTATAATTCTTCTCTTATCAATATGGTGAAAAAAATATATGTTAAAATATTAGCCAAAATCATATAATTTGACTCTCGAAAAGCAAAACGTGACAACTAAATGGGAACGGAGAGAGTGATTTCTTGGTTTTATTGCGGTGGTCATGTGAAATCATGAGCAATTCAGAACTGAACTCTTCCATCACCCACTTACCTCTTTTGTCATTAATGTGAATTTTGCTTATTGAATGGTAAAATAAAATGAAAATGATGGTCCCTAGGGTTCTTGTTTGACTTTTTTTTCTAGGGGATCTTTACCTAAATAGTCGGCCTAATTCATTGTTTATTTTTCCTAATATATATATCGTTGGCTATTTTTCCTAATTCATTGCTTATTTATGTATATATGTCGCTGGCTATTTCTAATTTTAGCGATTGTGTACGCGACTATTTAGGTTAATTCGTTTTTCTGTTGGTGGTGGGGGTTGGTGCTGGTAGTCAAGTACCTAAGTTGGTCCTATACCAATCGCTTTATTGCTCTTTCATTATTTACTTTAATTTCAGCAACTTAATAAGTGTAAATTGTATAAGGGGTTTTAAGGAAACTAGTAAAGATTGAAAAGAAAAACGGAGTATATAATTTATTTGCGAATTTAATTAAGTGAATAGTTTAAGAGAGAAACAAAGAATTGTTTACACAAATATTTTTATGATTAAAATTATTAAATGTCTCTCTTAAAGAGTGTATATAAACAAGGTGAAAAACCTCTAAAAGTTATTTTATAAGTTGTTTCGAAGGCATGGAAGTAAAAAATGAAGAAAAAATATTTTATAAACAAGGTAAAATATATTAATTTTTTTTTTAATTACCAAAAAAATGAAGGAAAAAGAGGTGGTTCAGGAAGCTTGCTCTCTTTACACATATATCAGAGCCAGGTTTCGATCCTGGGACCTGTGGGTTATGGGCCCACCACGCTTCCGCTGCGCCACTCTGATTTTGATGCTATTCCATTTCAGCTAAATATATCGAATAATCATATCCAACAGCGAGAGCAAAGTGATAAGGTAGTTGATTTGAGCTACTTTTTTTCAGAAATTCTTCTCTAACAATGGCCTCAATTTCATGTACTCTCCAACTAAAATTCTCCTCCTCAACTCCAAATTTTTCATCTTCATGTCCACCAATTAGGTTAAATTCTTGTTTTCTGGGTGCTTCAAAACTGAAAAGAATAGGATGGTGTAGCAGACCAAATGGACTTGGACCAAGTTGTGGTTCAAGAACAACTTGCTGGTTTAACTTTCGTCAAAATGCTGAAACTGCTGGTGTTTATGGTAGTCAATCTCGTGATGATTTTGACCGTGACGACGTTGAACAGGTGTTTTTTTTTTTTTTTTTCATTCTCATAGTGAAATTCAAGAATTATACTTGCCTTGTGCCGAGGGTCTATCGGAGGAAACAGCCTCTCTACCTGCACAAGGTAGGGATAAGATTTTCGTACACATTATCCTCTCGAGACTCTACTTGTGATAATATACTTAGTATGTTGTTGTTGTATCGTGAAACTCAAGAATTAGAGTCAGCGTATGCAGACATTAGAGTTTGGACTATGGTGGATTGTTATATATTTTTAGAATTTTCTTTTATTTATTTATGGTCTGTATTAGGGTTGGAGGTCGAGTATTAGGGTTGTAGGTTAGGAGGTAGTTGAGTCTTGTCTTCTGCCATAACTTTGGGAGACTAGTTTGATAGGGATACTATTTTGCTTTTGCTTTTGCTTTGTATCATTCTTCTTGATTTCATGTTGTTCTTATATATATATCTTTCTTATTATTTCTGTGGTGGTACTAATATTGTCTTATTTTGTCTTTTTGTCTTCTTGAGCCGAGGGTCTTTCGGAAACAGCCTCTCTACTCCTTCGGGGTAGGGGTAAGGTCTGCGTACGCACTACCCTCCCCAGACTCCACTAGTGGGATTTCACTGGGTTGTTGTTGTTGTTATTGTTGTTGTATTTATGGTCTGTATTGAAGGTAGCAAGTACAATTGGAACCCCTGACAATAGCGTAGATTCCTATATGTTTTGCTAGAAATATGTAATTAAGTAAATAAAAAAAGTTAACTTTAAGCTTTCAGATGAGATGATATACATTTTAACACGGTGTCAGAGCATCCTTAGGTTTTGAATTCGAATCACACCACCACTCATTATCAGAAAGAATATCCACATGGTTGGCTCATGAAAAAAGGATGTTCTTTATAGCAGTTTAAACATTTGGGTTCGGATGTTCTTTCTGCTCCCTTTGCGCCTTATCTGTAGTATTACTAGTATGCTCATATTGTCTTATTTTTCATTTCTATAACTACCTGATGCTGCTGCTTAGGCTAGCTTACTATCTTTGTTGTTGATACTTTTCTTTTTGCCAGTATTTTCGACATAGCTCCTTTACTATTGTATTCCTTTTAGTACTACCATATTATTCCGTTTTTTCTATTCTTTTACTAGTACTGGTGTGTTATTTTCGCCAGTACTTTTGACATAGTTTCTTTTCTTGGTTCTTCAAACCTGTTTTGGAATCGCTTTCTTTGAGCCGAGGGTCTATCAGAAACAAGTTCTGTACCTCCACAAGGTAGGGGCAATTAAGGTTATATTGTTGTAGTTGTTGGTCACACACTTCGAATTTGTTTAAGGGCTGAACAGGAATAGAAAAGTGAATATGCTACAAGAATTGTACATTTGGACATTGCTATTGTATCAAATAGTTTAATGTATATGGGAATTTGGAAGGATAAGTGCTGTTGACGCTTAGCTATGGCCGTTTACTTCTAAGGACTTCCAACCATCAGTTGACTGAATGAATAAATTGAGTTTAATTTACTGAGCAACTGACATCTCATATAACAGTATAGATTTCTCTTTCCCCAATAATGTAACATTTTAATTTTGAGCGTCTGCCACCTTCAGTAGATGAGTCCTTGAACTCTTTGATCAGTGTCTATAGTCATAGTTTGGTTTGCAGAGATTTGCTTATTCATGTGAGACTGTTTTTAGATATAACAGATATGCCGTATGCGACAACTTTTTCCTTCTTTTCAATGATCCAAAATATTACTGTGTATTAGTATGATACTGAATCTAATGAGTTAAACTGAATTAAAGTAAAAAAAAAATGATGATCAACATAACCTAAGTTTTAGTATTGAGCGCCTGGCATCTTGAGTAAATGAGTCCGTTGCCCGGCAACTTGAGTAGGCGACTACGTTGTGCAGGCTCTCCAAAATGCTGTCGCACCCGTGTCAGATCCTTCTACTATTTTTGGAGGATCTGACACGCACCCGGCGATATTTTTGAAAAGTTCGGGCAACATAGGTAGCTGAGTCCTTGAACCCTTTGACCAATGAGTATAGTCTATAGTTTGGTTTGCAGAGATTTGCTGATTCGCGCGAGACTGTTTAGATATGACAGATAGTTCTGTCTATCCTCATCTTTTATGCTAACTAAACGAAACTGTGGAGATTCATTTCAAAATGGTATACAACAATACCTTATTTTCTTGTGAAAATTTATTGTGGCAAACTACTTTAATCATATGACATAACGAGAAAGTTCTTTGTTTGGAGGTATTTCTCTGAAAGTTGTATGTGCTGCTCATGTATATATGATGCTAACAATGGCGGAGCCATATCTACTCAAGGGGTGTCAACTGACACCCCTTCGTCGAAAATTGCACTGTGTAGCTAGGTAATTTTTTTAAATATATCTACACTATATATTTCAATTTGCTTTACTGTTCTAACTGTACTTGCCTGAGCCGAGGGTCTCTGGAAACAACCTCTCTACCTGCATAAGGTAGGGGTAAGGTCTGCGTACACGCTACCCTCCCCAGACCCCACATATATGAATATATTGGGCATGTTATTGTTGTTGTACACTATATATTGATACCTCTTGGCTTCTTTATTGGTTTACTTCTTTA